GGGGAAGAGAAGGTAGAAGAGCTAGCTTTACAGCTTAAGTTGTTCAAAACCACGTTAAGTTCTTTCTCGACAGCAAGTCTAGAGACTTTCAGTTTAATATCATTACTTATCAAAAGTAGTCTGCCATATATCTGGTATATTTTTATTGTTGAATCGATCACATATTTCAATTCATGGTTACTTTAATTTAAACAGAAATGAACTTCAAAGAATGCGGTTTTCCAAAACGTCTTCAGGCTATGGATAATTTGTTAGTAGACGATGTATACGCCTCAATGATTTTGATTGGCAGCTTCAAAGTTAGCTTGCCGTGCTTTGAGCGCTTGTTACAGTGACCTTGATTTTTATTCACTGAGAAGTCAGGTAAAATAAACGCGAAGCAGGTTCTTCAATAACAAGATGACGCGCTGCGAGTCAGCGAGCTTCCTTTCTCTCCTGACTCTCCTGCTATGGCTATCGTCGGCGGAAGCATCGCATTTTCGTTTTGGCAGTATCTCATGGGCTCCGACTCCGGGCTTCAGCAGCAACACGGTAGAGTACTATACCCAACTTCACACCAGCCACTAATTATAAGTAGATAGGCAAAGCTCTTAATGATCATTTAGAATCTAGTAAAAATGGGATCACTTCATGGAGATACTTTGAATGATTGCTGCTCATTTGTTGAAACGTTTCTAGCGGCAACTTTCTAGTTCGCTACTCGTAAATGCTCTTGGGTACTAGAGAAGCAAATAAGCATTTTCCACGACCCTTGCAAATGTGCAAGGGTCGTGGAAGGACCCTAAAGGAAGGGGGTGGGTGAGTGAATAGATTCACGGATCGACGGATTTGCCCTTGAAAAGCCAAAGGATTGCGAAATTTTGTGATAAATTTTAAGGATTTGCGGATCAGTTTCGAATTTTGGCCTTGCCTACCAGTTCGCGTTGATCCATCACACAGCCGAAGTCGCCGGACATGTTGGTGTCCTCTATTTTTCGGTCTTTTTTATTAAAATTGGTTTAAATGTCATTTTTCTCCACGAAAAATTCAGCAAATTACAAATTACATTTACCAGTTATGCATTGCAGCATTCATGGTAAAATCAACACAAAAACACTTGAATTTCGCTGCAACACAAAGTAACGCTTTTTAGTGCTTCGTAGTGCTTTGACACTAGCACGGATGGGCGGTTTTGCCTACCCCCATTTACTCCCCCCTAGAGTACTTATTTTATAACACACGAGTAATTGACTGTATTGAATCACTATATATGGCTTGCACGCGTGCAATCAAGTACTCTTGTAATATAAGTCATGGCTTGACTTAAGATTTTAGTGATGAACAATAAAGACAATAGAGTGTTTCTGTCGAGGAACTATCGGCTGATAGTGGCCCCTTGGAAATTATTTTGATGTTCTCATTAAAACTAACATATTTGTTTTAAGAACATCAAATTTCCGCGGGGCAACTATCAACCGTAGTTCCTCGACAGAAATACTCTATTGTTTAAATAGAAATCTCGAGCTCATAATCTAACTGTCTAAGAAAAAGACTCGTGAAAGTTTGGGAGAACTCTAAAAAGTTGGGGAACGAAGAAGCTCGAAAAAGCGAAAAATCTTTCGAAAAAGCTGTGAAACAAAAAAGCCCGAAAAAGCTGTGGAAACACGAGCCGACAGGCTCGTGTCTCCACAGCTTTTTCGAGTTCTCTCAAACTTTCACGAGTCTTTCTATCAACTCGATAGAAACACGGTAGATGTTTTCTATTCCTTATAAGTAGTATCTTATAATGTATATAAATAAACGGCACGCAATGCATGCAGAAGCGATGACGTTTAAAGATTGTTCCTAGAAGATTGGAACACGAGCAGACAAACTGATTCTTAAACTCTTGGGTTAGAAATTTTAGGGTTTTACATTTAGGCTAGTCCATTGGTGGTTCATTCAAGTAGTTCATGTACNGCGAAAAATCTTTCGAAAAAGCTGTGAAACAAAAAAGCCCGAAAAAGCTGTGGAAACACGAGCCGACAGGGCTCGTGTCTCCACAGCTTTTTTGAGTTCTCTCAAACTTTCACGAGCCTTTCTATTAACTCGATAGAAATACGGTACATGTTTTCTATTTCTTAAAAGCAGTATCTTGTAATGTATATAAAAAATGTAATCGTCCCTTAAGATCTCTTCGCATTGTTCCTGATCATCTGAAGAACGCTTTAGTACAAGGCTAGTATTTGTTATCTTATGCGTCGTTTTATTTACTGTATCTTTGGTGTGTGTGATTATTCTTTTATTCCAGTGATTATGATGTATTCCAGTGATCGGTGTCTACCATTTTGTCCCAAAGAGACTTTCATTTAATCGGATCTATGAATTTATAAGAGCAAATGTTGCCAAATGAAAAATGTTCAAGCTAGGTCTTGCACAACAACGTACAGAAAGGGTGGGTAGCTTTCAACCAACTCAGTTGATAGCTTTTTAAACTTATCAACTTATGATGTGTCCTTTCTGTGTTAACCTCTCAAGATAGTCGAGACAGGGGGCTTTGAAGGAGAAAGAAGTTAAATTCCGGCGCTCTTTGTGTGCCATCCGGAAACTTTAAATTCGCATTTCCATAGCATTGTGAGGTTTCTAGACTTATAATTGGTTTTTATTTTAGGTGTTTAATATTTTATAATAACTTAGTGATTCTTTTAAAACTGACCGTAAGTTAATTGCGTTGTTCCACAATCTAGGTTATCTTTGCATTCCAGTGAGAACTATATTAAAAATTACAGTGAGCGAAGGTAGTGTTTACTTAGGTTTTTCTGATGATATAAGCGTGCTCAAATTCCGCGTGCACCTCATATGCCAGCAATATTATAGTTTAAGATAAATAATTCAAAGTTCCTCTCAATGAGCTGATAAAAGATAGTTAAAAAAAATATTCAAGGTTTTTTTCCATTAATTGTTGTCAATTTGCTCTATTTTATTAGATCACTTTTACCTTTCGTCTCGCTTTTCGAAGATCGTTCTCTAATTCATATTACTGCGACGAGAATACGAAAAGTCAGAGAACCCTTATTGGATATGGAGATTCATGGACAGCAACCTGCAGCGACCCTTACAATCCACAGTGTAACACATACCTTGCAGATACTGGATTTTACTGTACTGACTTCAGTAGCAATGAAGATTGGTCCATGGGTGAAAACAATTTCACTTATACTTTTCCATCAAACAACTTGGAATGGACTGTGAGGTATGTCCTCTGATAGACCTTTCTAGCTTGGGCGGTTTGTTTTCCTATTTCCGACCACGTGATATTCTCTAGAGTATATTCTTTTATCCATCTTAAAACTGTTCATTCATATACAAGCAACAATTTGACAATTGGCTGGTAGCTTGGTTCAAGTTATGTTTTAGCCCCCAAGTGACATCCGTTTTACACGAGCTACAGCATCGGAGACTCAAACAGACGAAGCAGAGTTGATAATTGAAGTCTCAGTAAGCTGACCAGTTGGCTATTAACAAGGTGTAACCGAGAAGTTGAACTCAGGGGTCCTGAGAACACATCAAATCAGTGGCAATGGGGAGGGCTAGAATCCGGGATATCCTGATTACAAAACCAGAGCACCAAAAACTACCCAGCTGCACTTCCTGGCAGTGATTTAATTAGTGAAAATGGCGGCTTACGAGCCACAGGCCAGAAAAAAAACTAGAACTAGTTCTCTATTAGAAATTTATCCAAAGACGCACAATGCTTTGTTCCTTTGCCACTTCACAGACACTTTTTCCCAGTTTAATTGAATTTCGCATTTGTTTTGTTTGTCATTTTGTATTTCTGTTAACCAAAAATAATTTCTGTTTTTTGTAACAAGTCTAAATAAATGAATTTTATCATGTTTATCTTATTATGAGACAGGCGTGAAAATTTAAAAAGAAACCAGCAGTGAGCAGTATCAAAATATTATTTTCCAAACTTAAAAGGTATTCAAGCCCCTTAATCAGTGCCATGCCAGCAGGTTTAAAATATTCTGATTTGGTTTTGATCTACAGTTACACGAGCTGCTGTTGGATTTCTTTAGCTCGGTATGGCAACGGGCAATGGCTTGTTTCTGGGGAAATTGACCTGACTCCACGATCAGATAATGGAAAAATTAACTCATCTCCGGTAACAAGGAGCCTGGCCATCTACCGCTTTCAAGAGGGTTGCCCCAAGGAAATTCGAATCACCGTTGAAGATCCCGATGGAGATACGGTAAAATGTCGTTGGGCAAGCGACGCAGAGTCCTCAATACCAAGCGATAGTTTCCCTTATGGTTTACTTGAAGAGGTAATTCTTTAAACTATTAGAATACTTTTTGGGGATGGTTTATCTAGAGGGGGCCCACTGCCTGATATATTAACAGCACGACACAAAACGGAAAGTGTATGGTCTTTAAAATGAGAAAATAAATTTATCTAAGGATAAAAGTCAATTTTGTCCACAATGACACTGGAGAGGAACTTGGAAGGAGGGACAAACGAGCGACAGAGGGTGGGAGGGAGGGTAAGATGAATGGTTGGCTGGATGGATGATTAAAACAGCCGGTATATTTTGTTTAAAATAAGTTTTTTTTTTTCAATTAAGCGAAACAGAAAATACCTTTAACGTTTTAGTTTGTTTGATATCAGTTGATGGCAGGTTAGCGGGATAACTGCGTACAGTATTAAATATAATATAACTACCTCCATTGCTGTTGGAGTAAAGAAAACATTTAACTACAAACTGAAAGAGATGTTAGTTAGGCCATTACGTTCCTGGTGGAACAAAGGGCAGTACAAAAGAGGTCTATTCCACTTTAAATTATTTTCAAATCAAACTGTTGTGCATTTGTTGTTGTAGACAAACTGCGTTTTGAAATATGGAGG